CCCCCCCCGCCACCGTCATCGGCATCGGATGACTACAGTACATGGACATGGACAGTAGATCAGCAGAAGCTAGAGTGTACTTCACGCAAACTATCTGTTGCGAAGAACACGAACAAGGCTGCTCGAGTGGCTATTTGGCAAGGCTACGACGAGTCTCAAACAGGCATGGAGTTGCTCCTCGAGAATCAGCGCTTTAGTTAACGTGGTCGCGACACCGGAGGGGACACAACAGAGCGGCGCTCTCGGCATTGTTTGTTTCGGCCACTAAACGTCCTCTTCTCTGAGACTGTGTTTGAACGTTTTATCAGGTGACACACTAACACGACGCGAACTCGATGAAGGAGGTCGGCGCTTTTGGGAAGAGGTTGCAGAAGCCTTCAATACAAACAATGATGATTTTAATTGTGTTGTTTCTGATGATACACTGTTCGATGGCGTCACTACTCACTCTGGGACTAAATTAAAGACTATGAGGAAAACGTGTAATGCACGGTTCTCAGCTGCCGAAGGAAGGTGCAAATTATCCGGATCACACGACGAATTCTGGAACTTCTGTCAGGGCGATAAAGTAGCCATGTACGTTCATCTCTGGTGTGAGCAGCGTAGGTGTGGCCGCAAGTTTTGTTCAACACGCATTTATGAAGATAACGAAGACGATGAATCAAAAGAGATGCAATCGGCCAACAAGAAACAAAAAGTAAATAGGGAACGCTGAAAAACCCAGGAAGAACGTAGAAACAGTGTCGATTCTGTTGCTATTCTAACCGAAGCTGTTGCTAAATCAGACGACCTTGAAGGTGAAATTATGGGCTGCTAAACTATCAGCTGCGGCACGTACGCAAAGTGATAGGTCGGAACATGTTGCACCGCTGAATATGACCGAGAACAACCTTGCGAGGTATATGGCCATTCACGACAGGCGGCTCACGGTTGTTTGTGTCTTCACGCACAGCGGGTAAAAAGCTGCAGTCTTCCATTGCATTGAAATCTCTCATTGCTATATTGTTCAATCCGTCGCTATTAGGCTGACTAATGCGTGCATTGATGCAGTAGTTATGCAGCTTCATGCAGGTTTTAATGACAAAACCTGCATGAATGTAGTCAACAGCTAAAGGACGCTTACAAATTTGCCACTTGTTAACAAGAAGACCAAAAGCCATATCTATTCGTATGCGTAGCTGAGAAAGATAAAAATTGTAGTCAGAATATTCACTCGATTTGATTTCAGGTTTTATGAAATGCACCAGTTGGGTCGACGACAACGGATATATATGCGTTATCTCCAATGACATAATATCCAAAAGGCAGACTAGCTATAGCTAGGTGCAAGGGCCACTTCTTAAAGGCAACACTATCAGAGACCTTTCCAGGAGAATTGAATCAATAACCAGTGAACCTGCGTGCTG